TGAAATACTAAAGTATAGGATGTAGTGAAGGGTGATATCCGCCTCAATCATGCGGTCAGTCGTCATCGCTGTCTTCGACAATCTTCTTGCGGTCGCTCTTCTTCTTCTCATTCCGGAAGTCGAGGTCTGAGTCGTCGTCTTCTTCATTGTCATCGTTGGGGGCTTTGGACTCGTCTGCGGAGACGTCCTGTTCGTCGGTATACTTGGAATACGAGCCGCGTTTGAAGCGGTCTTTGATGCGGGCAATAGAGATGCCCTCTTCGTCGTCGTCCTCATCGCCGTCCGGTTCCAGATAGGAAGCGGTGGGGCCTCTGACGAGCGACCGTTCCCGTGCTCTGCGCTGTTTGTTTTCGCGCCGAATCGATGCCTTAAGCCTGTCCTCCTCCTTCTTGATCATCTCCGTCCGGTGCGCCTCCGGGTCTTTGCCCACATTCGGCAGAACTCGTATCTTCTGAGTCTTCTGACTCCTGTCCGCCAAAGAGAGCGTCAGTTTCCTGTGCGTAAAGCTTTCGGTCGAATACGGTCTGAACCCGAGCTTAGTTCTGAACACTGTCTGTCCCTGGAGTCCAGTTCCCTGTCGTATAAACAAGTGGTTGTTATCTCCGGCCATGAGTTGGAGTTTATGGATATCGAAGATCTCTTCGCCCAAATGCAAAGAGTAGGTGCCGTCCGACCAGCGAATCACTCGTGAATTGCTTTGCCTTTTGAGTTCATTGGTCTGTCTGTCGACGACATTCCGCCACCGAATGGTGTTCTCGACCTTCAGTTTGAGTCGAGCCCTGCCCTCGTCGTCGAGGTTCTCGTCCTCATCGATCTCGTCCTCATACCACTGCGGGTCATACGGATGGGTGTCGACGGACAGGAAGTTCGGCAGTTTCACGAAATGCACTTCAGATCCCAAGTCAGCCACTATTCGCGGGATCTCCACATCGATCCGCGTCTCCGGCACCGGCTCTTCAGGTCCTTCGGCGCCATCCCCGCCCTCCCCATCGCCTCCCTCTCCGTCATCCATGTGCTCGTCGTCCTCAACGAATGTCTGGCCCGGAGTCTTAGGCATCTGATCTGTCAGTCCAATGGCAACGGAACGGGAGGTCAGTCTCCATCACATCACATCAACACTCATACAATACCCATCTCTTCGGCTGATTCTTCACCGGACTCTTCAATGGACTTCGACTTCTCTTTGGTCTTCTTAACAGTAATCGACTCGTCAACTGATCCCTCATTCGAGTCGTCATTCATATCGTCGTTCATGTCTTCATCCTTGTCTTCATTCGAGTCTTTATTCGACTCCTTATCTGAGTCTTTATCCGAGTCTTTGTCCGAATCCTTGTCGTTGTGGCCACCGATGGCCTCATCGTTGTGTGAGTCATCTTTGTCTTCATTGCGTTCGTTGTCATCATTGGGCTCTTCGTTGCCTTCTTTCGATTCTTTCGATTCTTTAGATTCTGTCGACTTCTTGGAGTCGCTGTCGGAGTCATCGTTCGAGTCGACATCACTTCCGAAGACATCCGCAAAGTCTGCCATCACTTCACTTGTGCCTCAAAATCAATGCAATTCACTGAAGAAGTCAATGGATTTGATGGCAAACAATGCAGTCATTTATGGACACAAAACACATTCACTTCAAACATAACCCATAGATAGCGCGCGCTCTCTCTCTCTCTAATCCACTGCTTTATGCTTTAAATCCCTTTCTTTGCATTTAATTGCATTTAAATCCATATAAATTGAGTTCACATTCAAAACATATGACTAATTAATTCCATAAAAACTATGAGAAATACAATTCATATGAATATACAATGAGTTTTCGTAAATTGTCGTTCAATACTATGGTATGTGAGAAATGCAATGAAAGTGTGCGAGTATAGTGGTGTACCTACCATGTAATCCGGCATGGTCTAGGGGTTAGGATAGCTGGCTCTCACCCAGCAGGCCCGGGTTCGATTCCCGGTGTCGGAACTTTTTGCCACTTGATCTGTAATCCGTGTAAATCTTTTTTACTAAAGTCAATTTCACGAGAGAATCAGTAAATATTATTGTGTCAAAACAGGTTTAAGATATTAAATTGTCAAATATTACACTGTCCAATGCTGTGGTTCAAAGGTTAATTTTGGTTTCGACCCATTTTGTTTACTGATTTACTCGTGAAATTGACTTTAGTTTACACGCCTAGATATGCTTCAAACTTACTTTTACACTCATTTTGCGATCATTTGTGCACTTTTGTTATAAGTGAACAAGGAAATATAAATTAATTACAGGAATACTTTGGTTTTATAATGAATTTGATGTGCGATAAAAGATACTTAACTTATTTTATACGATATTTAATCAATGATTAATTGCAGAATAAATTACTTTTTATTGCTTTGGATTAGATTAGAGTTAATCTGTTATGAAAAAGGGGTGACTTTTGTAATGGGATTAATACTGATTAGAATTTATTGAATAAACTTTTTAAGTTCCAAATAATAAGTAAAATATAAGCAAAATGTGTTGAGATATTGAATGAGATGACAGCATATTGTCTGCTCTTATGGACCATTTGTAAGAAGAGTCCAGTTTTGAAATACCATCAAAAGTGGGAAAGTCTTGTGTTTTGTATTACAAAGCAATATATCGTATGAATGAATGG